AGGCAACCCTGCCGCCGTACATTCAAGGGTGAGTCATGTTGTGGTTGTAACCTATGACAGGTTTCTGGACCCTTCTGGTCTGGGGTGAACTTACCTGAGGTTTGAAATGATGTTTGAGGGATAGTTTCACCCTGATCTTTGATTTTTCCAGGCTCTGACGAAGGCGATAAGGCCGAAACGTAAGCCAAATAAAACTGTTGTATCATCTTGGTTCGGCTACAGTAATATCCTAGACAGAAGCTCACAATATGCCAAGATTCATGGAGGGTCGAACGTGGATGCTTCTTGGTTCGTTACGGTAACATAGAATGGCTTGCAGTTTTGTTAGCCGTTGTTTCCTCATCCCTTGGTGCGCGTTTCTACTGAAACGCGCGCTACGCACCCCTCACTGTACCCCCCCTCCCCGCGACCCCTTCACTCTGCCTCCCTCCCATACATGTGCTCAGCTCCGGCTGAGCACGTGCAGGAGAGGGAGGCAGGGCGACCCGGCACCCCCACCCTGCCCCCGCACGAGCACACGTCCAGCTGCCACGCCAGCAGCTCGTGCAATGGCTCGGAGTGTACCGAATGGTTGTCTTATATAGCGGAGGCTGTTATCACAATCAAATCATTGGATTGCTACATCCTCCCAGTCGGTTACCGGTTTGCCTAGCGGTCGTTTTCGCCTCCAGCGAACTCGAACCCGTGAAGTATTTTGCGGACGGACAGACAAACATACATATACAAACCTACATACAAACATACAAACCGACACACAAAGTTACTGGTTTATAGAATGAAAGGATTTTTGTAAATACATTTCACAATGCTAGTAATAATAAAATCTTCTCGTAGCCATTTTTCAAAAGAGTGTGACCATATCCGTTATTTTGCTAACGAAAACGTTGAAGAACGAACAAGTGTTCGCTAACCTCAAAGTTTCCGTATATATAGCAGAGGATTTGTTAATAAGACTTGGCAAAATCCCAAGAGAACCGCACGCGACACGCCTGCACACGATGGATGTTAGCAACGGGAGTCTGCGCCGCAAAAGGTATTGGGCGGAGCATGGAGGAATTAGCGTGTTTCACGGTCCTGTATCTCCATTCCTGCGCATGTTAGGACGGTGTGGCGGCCTTCGACCCTGCTCTCGAATTGACTCTCTTTCAATATAATAGTTTATTGAGTAACGTAAACTGATAAGAAACGCTATCAATCGAATGGGAGGCCGCTCCCGTCCCTCTCGCAGACTCCCGGGCACGACAAAATAAAACATGAATTAGTGAGAATACCATTCTAGGTCAGTATTGCATGAGCAGTTTGTGCCCCAGCTGTCGAAGTTTGTGCCCCAGCTGTCGAAGCGTAGCGAAGGTTTCCCCGTCCTAACATGCGCAATGCAGAATGGAGATACAGGACCGTGAAAGACGCTAA